TTTTATTTATTTTAGTCATATTTTTTTTTCTCACAAAATTTCATGCAATAAACTGTAAAAAATATAGAGTATATTTTACAATCAAAAATAAATTATATATTAATTAACTGATAGATACAGTATATTAATGTTGATAATTGTTCATTAAATAGTGGAAAACATAAATTATGTGACAATATGTTGCAAACAACTAATGTTCAAGTTAATCTTGGTAAATTTAGGGTTTTCATTAGTTAGCCACCATATTAAAGGGATAGTTTATCAAGAAATTAATATTCTGGCATTATTTACTCACGCACATCTTTCCTGTGGATCACAAAAGACAATATTTTTTAAAATGTCCTTTTTTAAGTGTTTTTATACAACGTTTGCGTTCCACAAAAGAAACTCGTAAGATTTTTATTTTTACGTGAACTACCCCTTTAAGTGTTACAATTTCTCACATTCATTTTTCTAAACACTACATAGGTAAAATATACGAAACATTACTTATGCTTCATACCTGTTCTAGACGTATAGCTGATGCTAACATATCAATTTCTATCAGTACACAGTATGTCTTTAATTACGATCACTGAGTTTCCGTAAGGCTCCCGTTCCAATCCAATCCACATATGAAGGTCACTGGCTGTACCTAAGACCTGTTGAACAATCATTTAGAGCCTCTTAATCACTTCCAAATTGAACAGTCACTTACAGCTCTATTTTAGTGAACAAAGTGTGCTTTCCACATGCTAATGGTTGGCCACATGCAGCATGTATGCCTCCGGCCACAGACACCTACAAACATGGAAATGCTTAGAAATTATCGAGTGAGGACTTGCACACTTGCACTGAATCATCTTTAAGAGTAGGTTCGCAATCTGACGAGGACGAGAGATTTTCTTTGCCACAGGTGGGGTGGGGTGGGGGGGTGTACGTGGCTCGATTTCTTTCTGGCTGTGTGTGAAATCTCTGACTAAACGAGCTTTCAACTGAACGATCTATTAAAATGGGCCAACGAGCAGCACCGGCTCACTGCCCAGCCAGTAGCACTTTGTATGGTAAGTAGCCTCCTGTTTCCTGCCTGCACTTCAGCCAATAGAATTTTTTGTGTTTCAAACCTTTATTTAATCTGAGCTGCTTCTACTCCGAGGCTGAGGCTCTCACGCAGGTGGAGTGATAATGAAAAAAAAGAGGTGCCATATTGTAGAGAACCTGGAGCAATCTGGGGTTAAGAGAGGGTATCGCAGAAGTGGGCAGAAAAAGAAACAGGTTCATTACGGCAAGCAGCTAGTGGGCCTCCTGCTGCTTCAGATCCACAGTCTCACCTGCCAAAAAAACAGGAGCCTTTTGGCCCGCAGAATCATCTTGTCTACATTTAACATCTCTATCTTATGGTTCTGTGGGGATTCGATGAACTCGCAAGCAGCATTACGGAAAGAAAGCATGAATTTGCTCATTTGTCACTTATAAAAACCTGTGCTTTTCATACATGGTGCCATTGTGAGTACCTTGAGCACACTGTAAACTGTGCAGTTATTACCTAAAAGTGCTACTTCAACCTGACCTGACCCTTTAAAGGGATTGTTCACCAAAAAATGAAAATTCTGTCATCATTTACTCACCCTCAATTTGTTCCAAACTTGCATGAGTTTCTTTCTTCCATTGAGCACAAAAGAAATTATTCTGAAGAATGTTGGTAACCAAATAGTTGACGGTAGCCATTGACTTCCATAGTATGGAAAAATACTGTAAGTCTTTGACTAGACTACCATCGGTAACACTTTATTAAATAACAATTCTCATTATTCTCCGGCACTTCTGTGGAAGCTCTGGTTGTGGAGGTCAACACTGTTCCTCCACCTCCACCAGTAGCTGCCCCTGGACCCCTCAGGGTGGAGCTTAGACTAGCTAATGGCCAGTGTGTCACCAAAGGGTGTGCAGAAGGGGATGAGGCCTTCAAGTCCTACTACAGTGATGCTGATTATCCCATCACAAAAGTCCTGCGTGAGCCTGTGTATGTTGAGGTGCGCATTATGGAGAGGACAGACCCCAACATTGTCCTGATGCTGGGACGCTGCTGGGCAACTTCAACCCCCAGTCCACTCAGTCTACCTCAGTGGGACCTTCTGGTTGATGGGTGAGTGTAATGGCAATGTTTATCCCTCCAGTGCTCGTAGCTGCCTGTTTGATTTCCCGCACCTCTCTGTGCGTTCAGGAACCCGAGGGCTTCCCCCGGCATCCGCCTACCCTGGGACTCTGCGGTCTCATTGCTGGGCTGCTCAGCCTCTCGCTCGGATTAGCGAGCTGCCCCCCCGACTTCATCTCCACTGCTGCTGTTGCGGCTTGTTCCAGCCGCTGCTATCTCCCCATCGAGGTGGTTGGGGATTCCACGTCCACACGGTCTGTCCGCGAAGGCTCTCATTGCCCGCGGTGATTTCTCTGTACAATAAAGCCTCTGTTGAACCCGCACCTGAATCCAGCCTCGTTTCCCTGACAATTAACTAGTTGCTTATTACCATTATTAACATATTGAGGGAAAACTCTTAGTTAATGGTGAATATATGTTCCCTAATCTAAAGTGTTACCTTCCATCAACTGTCTTCTTTTGTGTTCAACAGAATAAAGAAATGTATACAGGTTTAGAAGAAGAGGGTGCGTAAATGATTATATTATTTTTATTTTTGGGTTAACTTTCCCTTTAAATTTATCTATCTTCCTATCTATTATATGACTACCTATCCACCTGTCGTTCAATCTGTCTATCTATGTACATATATGACTACCTGTCCTTCTGTATGTCTGTCTATCTATCTATCTATCATCATATATGTACATATTTCACTGCCTATATAACTGTCTGTCTATCTAATGTATCTGTCTAAATGGCTATCTGTCTGTCTCTTTGTCTGCCTACTGTCTGTCTATCCATCTATGAATTTATCTATCTGTCTGTCTGGCATCTCACTCCATCTCACACATCGAGATCATGGGTTTCATTCCCAAGGAATGTACAAACCGATAACAAGTATCAGCCAATTGCATAAATATAAAAAAATATAATACGCTAAATTCCCATATGGCATCTTAGACTAAATGAGCCACTTAGACACCCACTTAATGCAGTTTTAATTGGAATTTTGTTGATCTATAGTGTGTCACCAGTCAAAACCCCGTAAGCAGTAAAACCACACACTATCAGACATAGACATACAGCTCTCCTGTAAACACATCTGTGCTGCTCACCATTATTATGCATTCAAGACCTTTTTCTGTACCCCGGGGCTGTAAGCACAGACCCCTACTGCTAGGAGCGGCAACAATAAACAGTCATAACTCCTTATCATTTTATTGTCTGTATTGTGTGTTTGCATTTAGGAGGGGCTCAGTGCCACAGCTGATGCAGAATGCTTTAAGCACACAAACAAATCCCCCCTCTCTCTTTCTCCATCCCATCTTTTGCCTCAACTCAAACCCACATATTCTTTTGTAATGAGAAGAAAATGAGGAAGCAGTTCCCAGAGCAGGCTGGTTTGAAGCTGCAGGCTGAGCATTAGTAAAAGTGTTATGACTCCGCTGTCACTCCTCAGAGGAAAAAATAACCGGATGGAGGATTTTTTCTTTTTTAGGCAGGTACATAATAGCAGAATGGCAGACGCCAAAGCCGCTGACAAAATATGCAAATCAAAGTAGTTCTTGCTGATACTGGAAGATATTTTAATTAAAATTGATGTGTGTGGGTAAGAAGTCGGGGTTGTGCCCACAAATATGTAAAAAAAAATTTACTTGTGAGGACATATAAAGTGGTTCAATATTTGAAACAAGCAAAATCATGTTTTGGTTTCCATGTACTAATGTCAACAAGTTTCTTTGAGGGTTAAGTTTAGGGTATTGTTAATATCATTATCTTAATATGAAAACCATTGAATCTGTGAGAGGTCTTTGCTTATGTAGCTAAAAAAAAAAAAAACTCTGTGTGTGTGTAAAGGTACAGGTTTTAAAATAAAGTAAAACACGTCAAAAACCAACATGTGAAGGCATTTGAACTGGTCCACACAATCACAAACAGCAAAACTGTTTTTGCTTTAGATCTAATAATGCAACAGGTTTAAGTGAGGGCTAAATTTAGGTGTAATATAGTCAATATTGTTTTAGTATGAAAACCATTTAGTCTCTGAGAGATTCTTACAATGACAGCTTCAGAAATCTGTAGCCTATGTGTGTGAGCACGTCAAGAAAATTCTAAATTGCTCAAATATTATCATCCAAAATAATTAGCTACAACTAATTACAACAAGAAACAGAAAGAAGCCATAAGTAAAGTAAAACGCACGGCAAAAAAAGTCCCAAAAAACATTGTGACATGCATGACTTCCTAACAAAGGTAAAACAGCACCTCTCTGTGGGCACACTTATGTTGATCCATCAAATTTCATGACCTGGATGTTTCTTGAATTATTCCGTGCGTGATTTGTTTTGATATCTAGACAGTAGAGTAATATATTTCAATTTTGTGTCCACAACGTATATGCCACGTATTGAGTACTGACATAGACAGCAAAATTCACGCACCTATAATTCCTTGGTGTGTGTGTGTGAGTCTGAGGCAGCATATAAGAGTTCACAAACACTGGTCCCATAGGCGCCTGTCGCCATGCACCGCCTCTCTAGTCTTAAAAAAGATCACTGTGTTTTTTTACTAGTACTAGTTAAGCGCGTGCAGTAAATAAGCTCTAGTAGTTGTCAGCTGCAGTGCGGCATCGCTTGTCTATTTTTAAGAATAATATTACGTGCTGTGTATTAATATTTCATCGGGGCACAGTCAAATGCTTAAAGAGCCAGACAAACCTTAAACTAACCTGGTTAAAAACCTCATAAAGAGTTTCTGATATATAAACTCGGATGCGCGTGGAAGAGTCACGCGCGCAATGAATAGAAATGTAACCTACTTTCAGCATCATGCATTAGCTTGAACTGCACCAAAAACGCAATTATATAATCTAAAATGTTGATCTTACCTCGCCGGAACATCCTGAAGGTGCGGTGATGATGCGCTGTGCTTTATCCCACTGTGATAGTCAAAATAAGCGTCTCATATTTTAATAATCCGTGTCATATGTGATAAAAGTTTGATCTGTTTTAATGATCTTCAAACGATCCACGCCAAATGCAAATTCTTAACTCTTGACTCCTGGTCTCAGGTATCGATTAAGATGGAAAACAACATCGCCGACATGGAAGTCTCACAATCCCCGAGAAATTTTTTAAAGAGAGATGACTCCGAGAGATGTCAGACAGAAATGTTTCATACAAGCTTCAGTTAGCAGTTATAATCGCCGCAAGAAGCTTTCAGACAGCCATAAGAAGAGCATTTAAAGTTTTACAATATCAGTCGATGTGACGGGAAAGAAGCCTTCTGGTATTGTATACCACTTAAACGATGAGTTAAATGACTGTTCTGGTTAGAAACTGCGTTTGGATGCTAGAGATGCTCGGGTGGTTAACGGATGACAGGCGCCCGTGTCTCTTCAGGAGTCAGAAAGCTGGAGCACTACGGGAGGGAGGCGCGGAGGAGGGTATTTGCGATGCCCGATTCGTGAAAGAGCCATTCCTGTGATTCGGATCTTTTCAATGAATCAGTTGAATGGCTGACGAGCTCTCGAGCGGTTCTTGAACCGAGAACCGTCTATTTTGGATTCGTAAAGAAAACTGAAAAGTGACAGTAAGAGCGAAAAAAGTTATTAATTTTAATAGTAGCATGCATGTTTAAAAATAAAGCGTACTGTTTGTGACTAATGGGTGTGACAGTTTGATCAATGTGAATAAGAGTTGGGTTTAATGTTATTAAATAGCCTAGAAACTGCAAAAAACTGTTCAAATGGACTTTAGTAGTTTCTATGAGCTAAATCATAATGAAACTGATCGGAGAGATAGTGAATTGCAATAAACACCATAATTAATCAAACTTAATAGAAAAGCATAAACATCAATGTGGCTTTCTTGGAACGTTTTATTAGCAGGTAGCCTATTATGCCACGAGAGATGTCAGTGAGCGCGTGATGACGCAATTACGCTGTGACGTATTAAAAGAATCTCTGATTTGTTTCTTTTGAACCGTTCATTAAAATGGACAGTTCAAAAGAACCGATTAGCAGAATTGAATCAGCATCACTAGAGGCTATAGGACCAAATGAAAGACGGAGTGAGACCCTCTCCCGTCTCACTTTCATTCTAAAAAATGTTTCCATCCTGCTTTCTCTTCCTCAGACAGACCTGCAGCTACAAGGAAATCTAATGTGTGTCCGTTCGTCTCAAAGCCTGTCCAGTGTTTTCTTTCTGAGCGAATGAAACTACCTGTCTGCTCTCACTTGCCCTCTGACGACAGAAAAATAGGAGGAGCGATCTTTCCCTGTTTTAGGGCTTTCGTTTTCCAAGATGAAGTCTTAAGAAAAAATATCCACTTAAGTTGTATTAGCTATCATGAGTGTGGCGGGATTTAGTGATCGCCTATATTTTTGAGTGTTTGATCATGATAGTATAAATCATCCATGTGATGCATTCCAATGTTTAAAAGACACAAGGAAAGAAAGATTTATTATATAAGCCTATAAATATCTAATCAGTAATGGTAAATTAGTGTTTAAAATGAATTTATAGTGTACCATAATTAATATATTGTTTTGTTTTTAGGGTATGTATTTCTCTGGCTGTACCCAATAAATCTGCCATGACAGCAACACCGATCTTCGCTGAGCCAAGTGGCTACAGTAAAAAGCCGTAAATCTCTGTGTCTGTGTAAGGTGAGAGTGTTAATGTCCCTGTGTCCTGTACGTCTCTCTGTGTAGGGCAAAGCGGGTTAATGTCCCTATCCAGCGTCATCTGACAAAAGCACCTGTCACGTCAGGATCACACAATCCAGAAAGTAGTAGGGTCAATCACAAGGCCGCTTTAATCCGGGAGTAAAGAGGATAATGTTCCCCCCTCCCTCTCCCTCGGGGGACCCGGTATAGGATGGACACTGATAAATATAAATTGTTCTACCTCCCCGGTGGTGTCTTCCTTTCTCCATTTTGGTTTATCTCCAGCAGGCAGAAAAGTGAGGCTGCAGTTTAATCACATTGTACATCGTAATACATTTAATTGGTTGCTATATATTGCATTATACTGAGAAAGCAGGCTAGATTTTCTTGAGAATTTTATCTTTGTTCCATTGAACAACTATGGTTTGGAAAAACATGAGAATGGATAAATGAGGACTGGTAAATATTGTCTTAGATTGTCTTAAATATGGTCATTTACAGTGCTTAATTGGAAAACAGACACTGGATTACAAGCAAGCATGAGACATGCATGAAAAGAAAGACAAAACAACATTGCGTGAGAGGAGTAGTCATGCAGCCTGTGCATGTCCTCCCAGAGGAACCTGGTCAACTGACACACAATATTGTTTGTCTCCGGGAGGTGCAGCAACAAACCCGTTGTTTTAAAGTGCTGATGAAGCCATTTAGAAACTGGTCACACACCAGGGCACTAAGAACTGTGAACTCAGTAGGGATGTCTGATGTTGATTTTCTTTCCGAGTCCAGTCTGTCCTTTCGCTTGTTTTGAACACCTTGGAGTCTTGTTGAGTTTACCACCTGAATTTAAAAGCACTTTATTTGTTATTTCTTTGGTCTTGCCCTATTCTCGCTAATTAGCCTTAAGTATTCAACTTTACATGTAACTCATCCCACACTGTTTATTCTTCTTATGGAGACTTGGGATTGGGCTCTTTTGGCTTTGATTTTTGACTTAAAATTCATTTCTAAAAAAAGAATACTCTGTCTATAAAATATGAAAGAACAAGAAAAAGGGTTGTATAGCTTTATAAGGCAATAAACATGACAAGTTAGGTAGATCCCATTCTTCCACTGGTTTAACTCAATGAATTCTCTCCCACAAAAAAAAAAATCTCATTTATTACTGTCAGTTTAAATGTAGCACAGACTGAACCAGTGTATTATGAACACTGAGTTGAGCATAGTCTCGAGTTTGTTTTTATCACGTCATACTAAAATGATTGGGAACCAAGCTAATGTTATTTCCTCTTAAATGTTAGTCTCGCAGGTCCTCATTATACATAAAGAAGAATTAGGTTTGGGCTCTAGAGGCAAAAGGTTTGGATTCAGACTCCAGGAATGTTCTCACTTTCATGTTCAATATATTACAGAGCTTTTGAGAAATTGTTAGAGATTTTGGCAATGCATGAATATTATTGGAATAAGCATTTCCTATAGGACCATAATGTTTGATGATTTGTAGCCTACTTACAGTATAAACTTTTTACATTTTCTGGAGAAAATGGGAGTGGTGTGTTCTGGGTGGTTGCTACATGGTTAATCATATTTTTTGGCTTAATTACCACAAATAATTAGGCAAGAAAACAAGAAAATTATGTTGTTTTGAACTTGAAATCATTTTTTGCAGCCTGTGCTGTGAATGTGACTTCCAATCCTGGCAGATAAGTGATCAGCTTGATGGGGTTTTGACCTTTTGGTGATCTTTCGTTGACCATCCCACAAACTTCTGCCTCGTAATGAACGCTTTGTACTCTAGCTTCCTAACATCCAAGTCTGAAGCTTAGATCTCGACCTTTTCAACAGATGGGCTCTTGCCTTCACTCTCCTTGCCAAATTATACAATCCCTCCTTTCTGAGGGAAAAATATGAGTCATTTTGTGAACTTCAATGACTGGTGCACTTTTAGCTACAGCACATGTGCTGTGCGGTCCGTGGGAGTCCTGCTCAGCTCTGCCAAGGTTACAGGCATCCATGACACACCGCCCAACAGATATGTTAATCAATATGCATGTGCCATGTGAACAGAGTATCCCTAAGAATATGTGAGAGAGACTGATTGATAGATGAAGTGATAGACAGACTGACAAACTAACTGCCTGATAAATGGATGATAGATACTCATATGTTGATAGATAGACAGACAGACAGACAGATAGATAGATAGATAGATAGATAGATAGACAGTCGTATGGCTACATTTGTAAACATCACATCAGCTCCTTTCTCTCATACTGCAGCCGCACACAAAAGCCCTGACACATGAGGAAGGTGTGAGAGCTCTCCCGCCACCACAGGAAATTATGGTGTGGATGCAGGAAGAGGTGAGAGATCAGTCCTAATTGCCAGGAAAAGAGGGATAATGAATATACAGGGAGATGGAGCAGACTGCTGACAACACCGGTTTTCGTGACTCACGGGACGTGGAGTTTCTCTCTCCTACTAAACTTTGAATGCTATCAGAGGGGTACACCACATCATTAATATGGAAAAAAAAAAAACACAGAAAACACTTGAGTCATAAGCACATTTCGCTGCATAGCTAAACCGCTAACCAGCTTTTTGTTTTGGTGTCTCATTTTAAATACAGGTCAGTGTGATGTGAAACTTAGCAAATGCATTTAAATTGATTTCTTATGTCATACAGCATGTATTCCTGGTATATTTATGAATGTGATTACAGGCTTGGAAATAGGAACAGGATTTGAGGGACTGGAGGTCAACTAGAATGGCAAAATTACAGTCAGTGTTTGTTGTATATGTTTAGGTTTGTCTGTCAGGGAAGGTTTGACAGCCTAGAACCTTGAATCAATGTGTCATCATTTAGCCCAACACTGTTCTTATCAGAAGAGGAGAAAGAGAACAGAAAATTCTTGTTATTTCAGAAAAAGAACAGAAACTGTGCGGTACCACGCTGCATATTAATAAAACAAAGAGGTGGGAAAATAATTGCATTTTCTAGAGGTTTGTTTGTAAGATAGCACCTCACTGCAGTCAAGACTGTTTACACATTCACATAACACACTCATGGATATTCACATCTATGTGTGCATACAAACAGTTTTATTATGTAATGGATTAATACAGGAATGCTTGCTGAAGTTAAAATGTACAATAAAGTTCAATTATTAACATTAATGTCAAATATTAACATTAGATAATCCATTTTGTATCATGAACTAACAGTGAATATGTTATAGAGTGTAGCTACTGATCTAGATTAATGTTAATTTCTTTACATTAATATGCTTTAACGTTACAGGTTGATGTATTATGAATGAACATGAATTAACAATAGTAGATATATTTTAAATGAACATTTACCTAGATTAAATAATATTTATGTTAAAGCTAAAATGTAATGTCTAGTGGTTGAAGCATAAAACTACAAGTTACTACAAGTTACTTTTCTCTCTTTTCCTTTTCTCTTTTAAATATACAGTGGTGTGAAAAAGAAAAAACAGGAAGGGGGCAAAAACCTTTTCACGGCACTGTAGATTTATTTTTTATTGTAAAGCACTTTGGATCAACTACAGTTGTGTTAAACTTGTGCTCTATAAATAAAATTTGTCTTGCCTTGCCTTGGTACAAGCAACTTGTTTAGGTAATTACGTGACTTCCACGCTAGTCTACACACTGATGGATGATGCGCAGATGACGTAAGTATGCGATTTCCAGGGAAATCTATGAAAGC